TGAGTCTTGGTACCAATGGTATTGATTATGGATCCAAGTAAGAGTAAATCATTGACAATTTCAATTGATGACTTTGAGTTGTGATGCTGACGAAAAGTCTTGAACTTACCATGGACTGCCAAGAAAACAAATAGGTCTGTCCTGGAGAAGGGTTTGTCTTGGAGAAGGTTGAAACCACATTTTTACTTGGAGGCAAGGATTTTGAAGCTCCATCTCACATCCTTTGGGCACATGGCCAGGAGGAATTGGTCCTTAGAGAAGGACATCATGCTCAGAAGGGTGGAGGGACAGTGCAGTAGAGGAAGACCCCGAATGAGATGGACTGATACAGTAACTAGGGCAGTGGGGGTAGGTGTGTCGGAATTAGTGAGATTGGCTCAGGACAGGGAACGCTTCAGAGCTGTTTTACATAGGGTCACTGTGAGTTGCAGGTGAGTCTACAGCACATAACAACAACAGCAATCATGATTTTTGCCTATTGGTCTAGTGGTGAGGACTTGGTTTTCTTGATACCAAAAGATAATCCATAATGAATTGATCTTCTGCAGCAAGCAAAGTCTTTTCATCTTCATTACACAAATCATGGATGAGTCTTTTTCCAGTTCTGTTGTCATGCTCTTCTTCATAAGTCTGCCTTCCTGAATGATTGTTGTTGTATACTGTTGTGTCAGAACAGACCCAAACCTGACCCTACAGCAGGTTTTTAGAGGCAGTTTAATCACACCGAAGGAGATTGTCCATCTTTCGCCCACAGAACATTTGGTAGATTTGAACGATATGCCTTTTGAATGGTGGTGTAGCTCCTTAACATTAGGCCAGCAGAGCTTCCTAGCATAAAGATAAAAATTCCTTAAATCTTAGCATGAACTCTAACTATAGGCTAAGGAGAAACAGCACTATGGATGGTCTAAAACGTTGACTAAGTTTCAAAGTTGTTATGCTTCAGATTTTATTTCCTGTGAATTTGCAAGAAAAATGCTAGCCTGACATATGTTATTTTAATAATTTTTTTACACGTATGACTATGTCTTTATATGTGTACTTGTACAGTCTGGTTTGTGTGTACTTGTTTTTAAGAGGACATACTGATTTTTCCATTATGATAATATGTTGAAAAACTTTGAACTGGACTGCTTCTAACCCCTTGTTGTTGTTGTTGTTGTTGTTGTTAAGTGCCGTCGAGTTGCAGGCGACCCATAGTGACCCTATGAAGGAGAGTCCTTGACGCTTGGGTGCCTTTCATCCTCTCTCCAAGTTCATAGGGTTTGCGGAGGCAAGCTATTATGGAAGTGGACGCCACTCCTCCTTCCACTCTAACCCCTTAGCCGTCGATATTTTGCAGTTTAATTGCTTACATATTTGCATGTGTGTCCAGGTGCATTAAATTTAGCATTTTAGAATCTAGTGAATCCTCATTGCATACTAGACACTCCATGCAGGTGAGCACTGTACAGACAACCCCACTGGTCATGACCCATAGTGATTTACGTCATGGCCGCTTTTGCCTTTAGGCTAATATGCGTAAGCATATGCCTGTAGCCAAACAAGGACTTCAATAAAAATTCTCTAGGACAGACTTGTTTTAAGATGTTTGGTCTTACTGCTTTTAAGAAAATCAGGAGACAGGTACTTAGTTGATAAAACCCAATTTTGTCATTTATCATTCATCTCCTAAGTAGCATCCTGGTTCATGTGTTTATGCAGAGAAATTAAAAATTAATCATCAATGTAAGTCAGCTTTTCCCTACAAATTAAAAAGGCACATGACTCTTTCCAAATTCTGCATGTCCATAATGTTCTCCCCACCTTCCTGGTTGCATTTGTTAAGATATCCTGGAAAGAGATATGCCCCTAGATTTTTTTTTTTTAAAAAAAAGATACCCTGGGCCGCTGCCGCCGCGGAGGCCACAATGGCGACTAGACTCGCGGCCTTCCTCAAGAATGCCTGGGACAAGGAGCCGGTGCTGGTCATGTCCTTCACCATCGCAGGTCTCGCTGTAATTCTGCCCTCGTTAAGCCCCTACACCAAGTATGCCTCCATGATCAATGAGGTCACCCCCTACAGCTACCCAGTGCCCCTCCGAGATGATGGGAACACGCCTGACATGCCCAACCACCCCCAGGACCCCCTGGGTCCCAGCCTGGAGTGGCGGAAGAAACTGTGAGCACCTCCGAGGGTGGGCCCTCCCCTCCAACCCCCAATAAAAACCTGAAAACCAAAAAAAAAAAGATACCCTGGATATGTGTCTGCAGAGAACTAATTACTGGCACATTTCAGAACTGATTTGAAAGGAACTGGTGATACTTTCTGAAAGGTGGTGTTTGAGAAATAAACTCCAAACCACTGTATAGAGTTTTGTTTTGTTTTTTTTACATCATTTTTTAAATGAAGCTCCAGAAAGGGGTACATTATACATTACATATTTGCCTCACAAAAACTAAACATATTGCTGCTGGGTCACCTCTTAGATCTTTTGTGTGCCAACTACATTCAGTAGGACTTTCAATGGCTTGATATTTCTGATGTAGATTCCCAGGCATTTGTTTGAGATACCTCTGGGTGGATTTTGAACCACAAGCCTTTCAGTTAGTAGCCACGTTTTAATGGCCACCAGCGCACAAGTACCCCTCAGGCTGTGGCCTAGTGGGAATGTATTTAGTTGTCAACCTAAAGTCATGTTATTAAAGTCTACCTACCAGCTGCTCTGCCTGAAAAAGATGAGCATGTAACTGGTATGCAATATACTGCCTTTAAAAAGCTGTTCAACAGTTAGCTACGAGTTGGTTGCAATTCGACAGTCTCAACAACCAAAAACAACATTTAAAAAAAAATCCCAAAATAAAAGCTCACTAAGTTGTGTCAAGAAAACTGGAGGACAACCACCTGGCCAACTGACTGGAAGAGATCTATATTTGTTCCCATTCCAAAGAAAGGTGATCTAAAAGAGTGCAGAAATTATCAAACAGTGTCATTGACATCACATACAAGCAAGATTTTGCTGAAGATTATCCAAAAACAACTGAAATAGCACATCAAAAGAGAACTACCTGAAGTGCAGGCTGGGTTTAGAAGGGGTCGTGGTACGAGAGATAATAAAGCTATTGTCAGATTGATCTTGGCTGAAAGCAGAGAATACCAGAGGAATGTCTATCTGTGTTTCATTGACTATGCAAAGGTATTTGACTGTGTGGATCATAACAAACTGTGGCTAACTCTGAGAAGATTGAGAATCCCAGAACAGTTGATTATGCTAATGTGAAACCTATACTTGGGCCAAGAGACAGTCGTCAGAACAGAGCAGGGAAACACTTCATGGTTCAAAATTCAGAATGGTGTGTGTCAAGTATGTGTCCTATCTTCCTGTCTTTTCAGTCAGTATGCAGAACAGATTATGTGGGAGGCTGGGTTCTATGAGGAGAAATGTGGCATGAGTATTGGAGGAAGATTCATCAACAATCTGTGTTATGCAGATGACACAACCCTGCTTGCCGAAACTGAGGAGGACCTGAAATGCTTGCTACAGAGGGTCAAGGACTGCAGCCTTCAATATGGATTGAAGCTTAATATCAAGAAGACAAAGATTCTCACGACTGGACCAATTGGTAACATCATGATAGATGGTGGAGAGCTTGAGATTGTTAACTACTTTAGTGTGCTTGGCTCCACAATCAACACTCTTAGCACCAGCAGCCAGGAAACTAAAAGATGAATTGCATTGAGAAAGTCTGCAGTCAGGGACCTCTACAAAGTACCGAAGAGCAATGATGTCAGTCTGGTGACTAAGGTGTGCCTGATTCAGCCCGTAATCTTTACAGTTATTTGCAGTGCATCAGAAAGTTGGACAGCGACTAGGGATGATAGAGGGAGAATTGATACCTTTGAACTGTGGTGCTCGAGAAGAATATTGAATATGCCATGGACTGCTCCAAGAACAAGTTTGCCCTGGAGAGGATGAAACCAGGCTGTTCCTAGGAGGCACAGATATTGAAGGTCTGTCTGACATACTTTGGACATATTACAAGGAAGGATCAGTTGTTGGAGAGGGATAACGCAGGAGAGGAAGGCCCTTGCTGAGATGGATTGATTTAGTGACTAAGGTAATAGAGGTAGGTGTATCAGAGACAGTAAGATTGGGACAATGTAGAGCAGGGTTTAGGACTGTTTTACATAGGGTCGCTATGAGTCTCAGGCGGCTCGATGGCACATAACAACCATAACAACCACAAAATAAGAGTTATCCTTATACCATATAGTCTGTCTTTTAAACGATACCATTTTGCTTTGTAAAATGCTTGTTATAATCCATTAATATGATCTGCAAAAGGGAATTGTTCTTGTCTTTGAATTATTGATCTTTAGTTACTTGAGAATTATTTGTCTTACAAATAATTTATGAAATATATGGAGATAAAATTTTATTTAATTTACATGTTTTAAAAGTATAATAGAAAGTAAACTTTTCAGCAAGTACCCAGGGTATGTTTCTTCATGTAGAAAAGGTTTTCTGAATGTTGTAGATATGTATGTATGTATCTATGTGTGTATGAGTCCATATGTGTTTATAAAAAAACTTAATGTACTTTAGAGAAACTTTTGTGTATTTGTTTCTTGTTTTATTGTTTAGATAATTTGAGGTGAATGCTCTATTCTTTTATTTTGACATGTGCTGATCTATTGACCAGTGCATTAATGATGAGATTAGTGGCCCCTTTACTTGTAGAGCCTGATCTCATCGCAGATGTTTGCTGTCTATCCCTTTAATGTTTATACTTGATACAAATTGTGGCAAATCCAGTAGAAACGGAAATAATTTAATATTTCAGTTCATACTAGGATGCTTTTGGAAATGAACTTTATACCTTTTCTGTTTAAAGTGGGGAAAAAAAATCTCTTAGAATTTTGTTTCACAGTGCTTGCAGCTTGGAGTGATGATGACATTTTGACTGTTTGTTACCATCTCCCCATAGTATTGAGAAGTGTTTATCACCAACCAGCCAAGATGAACATGGTGAAAAGAATCATGGGGCGGCCGAGGCAGGAGGAGTGTAGCCCACAAGACAACGCCTTAGGACTGATGCACCTCCGCCGGCTCTTCACAGAGTTGTGCCATCCTCCTCGGCACATGACTCAAAAGGAGCAAGAAGAGAAACTGTACATGATGCTGCCGGTGTTTAACAGGGTAAGTCCAGGCTGTCGGTCACATACCTGTACCTTCCAGGAGGTTATATGTCAGTCCCTTGTCGGATGTGGTAATCTTTGAGAAGCTTGATGTTCTCATTCCTCTCTCTCTCTCTCTCTTTTTTTTTTTAATTAAATTTTATTAATTTTAATGAAAATTTACAGAGATTTTGGGTTTCCATTCATTCATTGTTGCACTATTTTCTCTACCCTCTTCTTTTTTTCCCCCTTGAAAGTCTGTTTTAATTGTCCAATTGCCACAGTGCTTGTCAAAGCCAGTTCTGATTAATCTCCTTTGTCAGTGTGTCCTTTGCCATTCCCTATCACTCCTCCCTGAGAGAGACTTCACCCTGATTCATAAGGAAAAGGGGACGGCGTATTCTCTTAGCTACTTCCTGCTGAAAAAGGATGCTGTAGGTTTCAGGGTGAAGATCTTCTCTCACTACTCTAAAGGGCCCCTTTGGCAATAGGAAACACATAGACTATTAGGGAGATTGATCTTGGAATTTAGATGCACTGTTATCAATTGTGCTTAGCCGTACATGTTCATAGCCTTGAAGACGTATCATGGAACTGTTGCAGCCTAGAAGACACAAATTTAGCTAACAAGTTAAAAGTACATGAGTCAAAAATTAAAAAGCAATAGTGTTCCAAGTAGAGGTTCTAATAGTAGCACAAATCAAGTTACAGTATAAAGGTTAGGAACGACAAGATGCAGAGGCTAAACTATGTCATTTATTATGCTTAAGTCCTGGAGCAAATTCTATCCACCACCAAGTTGCTTAACAGCTTGGAAGTCTGCATGCAAGGCAGAGGTGAAGCAAGGAACTGCTTATGAGGTTTCCGTCAATTCCAACAACTAAGAAATAGTGAGAAGAGTTGGGACCTCAGAAGGCTTTTAGGACCAAATAGTAGGC